TTATCCGCAATGTCGAACACAGACGCGGACGAAAGCGCATTTACGAGACAACTGTGCGATTTCGCCGAAAAAAATCCCGACACGAGAAGGGATTCGATTGTTGGCTGTGTGCAGCTGGACGTCATATTTCGTGACTGGTGAACATTAATCGCGCGGGACAGCAGCCATAAAGAGAGCCGCGGAGTTATCCATCTGTCCATTTCGGAGCGGTTACAGAATGCCTCTCTCACGTGGCACGGACGGGCGATTCAAATGACGAAATCATCTATTCGACCAAGAACGATTGAGATTGTCCGAGACATCACTTTGATTTATTTCCGCTTGGAAAATTCATCGTTACGGAGAATATTTCGGGGCGAAATTATCGTAAAAGAGCATTTTAAGCGAAAGACTTACATAAACAGAAATTTCATACCTCAGGCAAATATTACATAACATTCACTCAAACACGTTTTAGAAATAAAATGCTTCGAATTAAGAACGCTTAAATTAGAGATATTTTAGTAAAAAAAAGAATTTTCATTTCGAATCCACGATATGTTCAGTTTTTTTTTTCATATATTTTATTATCACATATTTTATTATATTTTCTTGATTGACTAAGTGGAAAGTCAAGTGGCTATCATATCATTGACATTGATAATCTTAGCAATTTTTAACACTTTTACATATTATCATAACACAATTTCTTGTTAGAAGTAACTTTATATAAGTGAACAGTAATTATTAAACCACACTAGCAAATACTTTATGCTAAATTGGCAATTTTATTCAAATAACACTATACAAAGCAACTTGGCTTCTTATGGTGAAAGGAAGGAAATTACTGTTTCTACGAAACACGATAGGAAAGGATGTTTAGTCGGCGGATTTTTAATCGTGATGACAATGCAAATCTTTTTTTCTGCTTTGATATGCCAAGATATCTATTGCCAGTTCCTCAAAGTTAAAGAATAATTGATTAAGTTGTGCTTTTTATGTTTATAAAGTTACAATAAAAGAAAATTATCTATTACAATAGAAGAAAACTATCTATCATATATTAACTTATTAAACAATAATAGAAAAAAGAATATATATATATATTTCCTATATATATTTTTTTCAGGTGAAAATCATTAAATTTGTTAAATAAAATTCGACTATCTTCAAGTATAAAAATAAAAAATTATAATAATTGCAACTAATATCAACGGTCACATATTTTCTCAGAAATTCTTCCAAATCTAGCTCTGTCGCAAATCGAAGGAATTGAATATGTGAAATCAAAGAGTTCCCTGAAACGTTCACTTCCCTGAAAAGTCCTCGTACTACTACGTCTCATTAATAAAGAATAACAAAAATAATTTCGATGTTCGAAAGATCGTTGACTATCATTTTTTCCTCATTTTTCTCTCTCTCTCTTTCTCTTTCCCTACTATTCTTTCATGTATCGAAAATCGCATTTTCAATGCATATAATTTTGATGTCGATCATTGAAAGGAGTGGGACAACGGCGGGATAGTCGAATGGTTCTGAAAAAGGGTGGAAAAGAGCATTTTGTGGAAAACGACATAGCGCCTAAACAAATTTGCGTTCGTTGCAGTGCTGCTCTCGTGGGTATTTGTTTTAAGATGCATCGCACGGCGCATTTATCTTAACCATGGACTTTAATTAAACTTTCTTTCTCTCAAAGGAAAAAAGTACATAATAGGAACGTTTCCCCCTGGTATTCCATTATGTGTTGTACGTACATGTGCATGCATATGTATGCATGTATGTGTGTATGTGAGAATACTCTTTTTTCCTCTTCTTCTTCCTCTTGCCGAACAACAGAAGAGACCAGCTTCTGGAAATCGATCGGTTTTTCTCGCATCGCGCATCGCATCGGACGTTTGTTGCTGCTTGTTGCTCTACTTGCTGTCGCCTAACTCTAATCAGGCCGAAGTGCGTTTAATCATTCCTTTTTTTCTTTTCTTCGTTTTTTTCTTTTTTTTTTTTTTATTTTAAAACTGGAAATATGATACAAAAGGAGATGGGAAAACATCAGCTAGAATTAAATCGAGTTAATCTGATTGAGAGTGAACTAAAGTTAAAATTAAGAAGGTAAAAGTGTATCATTTCCAACTTATTTCGGACTCTCATTTATTCGCGATAATCTAGGACGCTACGTGCAGTCTACGGCAACGCGATTAAATGTAAAAAAAGCGCTTTAATTCAACTTATGCGTTGAGAGTGCTTTGCATCGTATACTAGAAATATGCGCTGCCGTTCGACACAAATGAAATCCCTAAAAGAATTAATTTCGTGATCTCGACGGTTTCTATCATTCATATCGTGATTCGATTATTCTGATATTTTCTTTTAACGAGGCAAGTTAATTATTGTTACGCTATCGGATTATCAGGATTATACGTTTCGTCACTATCTAATAGCGAGATTTATACAAGTGTTGTAAAAAATTAATTTCATTTTTAAATTTGAAAGTATTAAATAAAATTTATAATATATCACAGTATAATTGGCTACTATCACAGTATATTAGCTATTCAAGCTTTTATACATCACAGAATGTCTTTTATAAGTTAAAAGAAACACAGTAACATAACATAACATACGATTAATTCCATCGAATTTGAGACGTTTGGCGATTTTTTAGGCGGTTAGCACGCTGTTTGTCGAGGGAGGGATACTAAACAGGTTTGTATGTATAGGTAAACATTTGTGTAGGACACTTAGACGGAAAACATAATGCAGCAATATGTATAAGTGGTTCTACACAAAAAAAAAAGATAGTCTAGAATATTGTAAAAGAAGAAATCGGAAAACAAATGTATTATACATGGATATTGCGTGGAAACAAACCATTCGGGATACGTCGCAGGAACCAAACGAACTAACTTCGGCAAGAATCAAAGATGTGAGTGTCTTTGAGATGATCGCGCATTTTACGTGACAGAAAAATTGGCCGAATCTTCGTTTAACTTCGCTCGTAATTGCAAAAATTTAACTTAACGTAATTGCAAAAATTAACTTTACGATGACTTTGCATGCTACAGTGATGTGGGGATTTTTGGGATTATAGAATTTAATTCGTCATCTATTTTAACCCGCGCTGACGTCGGAACATAATTCGTCTCGTTTGCTCGGATTTTATTTCTGACATTCACATCTTTACTGCTTGCTATCGCAACATAACGATCACCATCGATGCAAGTATAAAAAGAAAATTGTACATAAAAGTCCTAGGGAGCTTGTCCCGTATTGTCGTCCACGAATGAGCGTGCTGGCTGTGCGCGTAACTGTTGAACGAACAGATCGTTTTCCGGCAGCATTTTGTCAGTACATTCACGTTTGATATTACTTCAATTTTATGACGCTCCCAAATGATCAATTTAAAAGTATAATTGCGATAGTCTTAATATTACGATACGCAGTCAATCCGCTTATGCCTGAAAGGAGCTTTTTCCAACGGAAGAAGAACGTTCCGGAATCTCACGATGAAGTAACATCATCTGTTCTCTATATTAAGCTCCGTTCAGAACGGTCCATTTAAAATAACGATTGCAACGCTTTAAATTTCCCGCTTGTGCATGCCCGTTCTCTTTAGGAGAAAAATAGGAGAAACGTCTCCAAGAGGAAGCGCAATCATCTTTCTCGCGGCTTCGAATCGTCGACTAGGTATTATTTTCTTTCTTATTAAAATTTGGATATAAAAAACGTCAACATTTAAACGGAGAATTCAATTGGGCGAGTTTAATGCGCAAGAAAAGCTCGAACGAAGATCGGACGTTCTTCGTTCGGACGAGAGAAGGCGGCGGATCTGTACCGCTAAAATGCGATAAACCGACGTTGGGATTTGGAAGCTTTTAGCGCTGATCCACGTGATCCTTCGCGACATTCTCTCCGCTCTCTGCACTAGCGCGACTTACACGCGCGACATACTCCGGCGAATCGCCGTGACAGGAAGCTGTTTCCTTCGCGAGATACGAGATGCCTGAGAAGCAGCGTCCCGTTCCGTCCCGTCCCGGAAAATAAAATAGAATCGCGGCTCGTAAATTGCGGAACTTTAACAATCTCTCGCCGACAAATCATCTCGCAAAGCAACAACGGGGAGGGAGGGATCGACGACTCGGATTTGGCACTCGGCTGCCGACGCGCGTTTTAAGAGACTGCCTTTGTCCGAAGTGCAGAGATAACGCGCGATTACGCGAAATTAAGTGTCAAGCTGAACCGAGAAGAAATTAGGGATGGAATGCGGGATAAGTTCCGCGGGGGAAGCGGGAGAACGAAGGAAGCCGTCGAGAGAGACTCTCGGGAAACGTATAATCCTGATTCCCACGATGGTCTTTTATTTCTCGATTTCGCTCCCGACTCCGAGCTTGAACAGCCTGTCGGTGCGAATAGGTCGCCCGAACACGCCAGCTCTTTCGAGAAGCAATCGAGTTGCCCTTTTTGTTGCGTTGCCTGGCTCGCGAACTTGTCTTCGAGCGCTCATTACTCGAACGATAGGACCGATCCACTTGTCATTCTAGACTACCTTTGTAATCCGTCGTCTTCGTTTTTCCACCTTACTGTGTGGTTACTTCGTCGAGGTTTTCTAGGAATTGCGCAAAAAAAAAACAGGCAAAGGTACATTTACAGAGCGCGCCGTTATATCACCTTTAAATTGCAATTAATTAAAGGTTTAAGTGAAACCTTTGTAGAATGTTGATTTCGAGTTATTAACGATTCACTTATTTCGAATCGAGCATCTCCTTCATGGCAAATGGAAGAGTAATTTAACAATCTGTATATTCATTCTGCCTGACATTTGTATATAATTGATGATATTCCAACGCTAGTAATATATATTGTCAATATGCGTAATGGTTAAATAAATAGCTATCGTCAGATGATATATCGCGGCGCGCCCTTCGCGTTTCACGGATATATATATATACACATACGAATGTATGTACAGACACTGTAAAAACACGCTTGCCAGATGCGAGTTACCGTTGGTTGACAATCATAGGTACCTATTAAAGGGACAGCGTCCGAAGTCGTCGGCATGCTTTCTGCCACGAGGTTCAGGAAAACTGTCAGCGACAGCAGAATGGTCACTCCTGAACAGGTCCAAAAAATTAAACATCAACACTGCGTTACAACGCGCGGGCTTAACGTGCTACCTTGGATCTAGGGCTCCTAGATTTTAGATCTTAGAATTCATTAGAGTTCATTTCGCTAACGCCCAAAGCGAGATAAGATCGCACAGATTCTTTTGATTTCTCTGAGTGACAACAGATCAGCTTGAATCACGTCGTGTCCGAGGACCGATTCGGTTCTTCGGACTTCCGAGTTTCCCTTGCCGAGAATTTCCTGAGTTCGTTGTAAATTCTGACTCGCACTCGCGTATCGTGATTACGATATCTGTCGATTGGCAGTATTGATTTGCGAGTACCAGCTCAAACTGGAATGCGACAAGGACTTTGTAAAATTTCTGTGAAACCTTTACAACCTTTCCGAACATGGAGAAATACGTAATACGAACGATAAGACTCTCTCATTTCACTTGTACTAATTTTTCTAACTATTTTTTCGATGCAATGTTGTGATTATTTGGAGAATAATGTAGCGCGAATGAATCGATACTCATCATACATCAATTTCTAGCAGAAACGCGACGAGAGAAAAGCGAGAACTCGAATGCGACAATAGAAAACGAATGATTTGCGGATAAACCAGAACCTCACCGGTTACAAACGTGATATTAATGACGACGAGGGAATGTCGGGAATGATCTGATAGAATCCGCGCGATGGCCGCGCGAATTATGCGACTCTGTGCAAACATTCAGAGAAGACATGTCCGTGAGCTCGCTCGCATGATTAAGTGTGGACAACCGCGAACAATCGAATCCCCATGTATCCCATGTGGACTCTACTCGCCCCCGGCAGGATTCCCAAGGATAGGATTAGCTCGCAAAGTTCGGAACGTGTAACAGACGGGATGCGCGGCGCCGCGGCGAGGAACCGCAACCGTTAGGCGACTTTGGCGTATCTTTGGCCTAAGTCGCCCGGCAACTCCATTACTGCGTAACAGCACCTTCGAAGTGACCAGCAAAATTCAATAATCTTACTGCTCCTCTCCAGAATCGGGAACTTCTGCGAGCGATCGACAACCCTCGTCCGTGTGAAACGAACTGTCCGACCGCAACTGATTGAATCGGGCGAGCTACGAATTGTCATATGAATTCGTCGGGAAATTGAATAATTCGATTAAGAACTCAGTATCATAAACGAATGCTAATTGAAGAGTTATTACTCTGTGCAGGGAATGGCGCGGAAACAGAGGTACAGATGTAATATTTGTAACGGACAGCTATTTGCGCTTTTACGAAATAATGAAGCTTTTCAGCGATCGTATATTAATTTGATGAGACACACGATATTATTATCACACAAAGAATTAAAGGAAATGTAAATGGCATGTGAGTTTTAGAGACAACTTTTACTTTACGATATGTCAAGATTGAAAATTCTTTAAATTATGAATTGTGAAAAAATTAACTTTTTCTTTAATTTCTTTTTTTTTAAATTAGTTATTATTTAATTTTGTTATTTGATGCTATTGTAGATTATAGTTAGATATATAAAATATAACAAGGTATTGTGTGTTTCGTTAATAACCTACCTGTCCCGTTCATTTTAATAATAGTAAGTACAAAATCACGTAACTTCCTTTGAATGAAACCAACAAACAGTAATGTCGCGAGTTAACTCACCAAGTTTGGAGCATTACGATGGCTCTTGAAAGCGCGAGAAGACTTGACAATGAGTCATTAAGCTTGATGTATGTATACGTAGTTAAGTCACATGAAACTCCACCGTGAAACGTAGTGGACTCACTGCTAGTCAATGTCGCTATTAAATCGTCGCTCGCAAATCAGAAAATATATGAAATATCCGCCGGGATATTTTATATATGCTTCGGGAACGAATCTCGCGATCTCGTCAATCGGTAAAGTTAATTAAAAACGCGTGCATACATCTGAGTTATGGGCAATCGTCGGATGAAATAAATTTATGTCAAATTTAATTACAGGCGTTATCGTAAACGTCAATTTTGTTTGATTAGTAAAAACGTTAATCCTAAAATTAATAAAAAATAAATACAAGTAAATATTCGTTAAAGTTCTTGTTCAATTGTTATAAAACCTCGAAATTTATTAAAAATCTTGTAAAGCTGCCACCAAATTCGGACAATATTTTCAAATTACGTAAACTGTAGAAATTCTTTTTAATGACATCTCTCCTTCTTTGAATTTTTTACTTGCGCTTTAATTCGTTTAATGGTTCATTTAAGTGAGGTACGATCGTATTTCAATGAGATCGACGGGTGTAAACCGCGACAAGGTGCGTTCGCGGTGGGTGGCAAACCGCCAATAACATCCGGGGGTTGTCGGTCAGTGGGGGAAGGTGCGGAGCTTGAGGAAGGCTGACCAATTAGTTCCTTGCTATTAGACTCGAGCGTTCATTGGAATATTGGAACGCGTGCGCGATCGATACTTTTTCGAAACTACGAGAGACTTGTTTGAAAAACACACGAGCTTTCGTGACACATGATTATTATTTAAAGATAGCAAATATAGAGATTGATGATAGTAATTATCATATATAAAAAGATTGATTTTCATATATTCAAGTAAGAGAAAATTTCTTATAAATGCTTGTTTAATAATTTTTTTTAATACTATACCAATTGTTATCTAATTATGATTAAAAAATATTTAAGAAAAATATTCAATCCTAATTCCACAAATTTTATTTTATTGCAAATCTATTCGTTGTAGATATTTAATAGTTTTTGATTATCCAACTTTCCAAGATTTTTCTTATTAAAATATTAAAATTGTTTTTTATTAACGCAAAATAAACGATTCTTAATTTTATCAACTGATTTATTCCTTTAAATATGCCAACAAAATTTTGTTACAAATTTTGCAAATTACAGCTGACACATAATTATGCAAATTGTATGTCATGTTTGCTTATACATAGAAAAGTTTATTTATGTGCATACTGAGAAAACAAGACTGTGCCAAGATTCTTCTATATATTGATAAGAAAAATATCGACGGTGATAAATTTCTGACATGATGAGTTAAAGTAGATTCAAGCATTTTGTAGCTAACTCTGCACCATCATCTTTTACAACCGTTCTTTTTGTTCGTGTAGTATATCACTGCTTTTGCATAAACACAAAAAATATATAGGGAAGAAATGTATAAGGAACAGTCAATGTAAATTTTCCTAACGCGTTGAAAGAAATATCAGCGTGATATATTTTGATTGAATCGTCAATTTTCCAAGCATTCACGTGTTTCCCACACTGGATTTTCAGAACAAGTACAATATTTGTTTCTTGTCCTAACGTTTGTTTCTAGTTAATTATTATGTGAATAGCTTCGGAATTTGTCGTACTAATAAGTT